CGTCTGCGACAAAATCCTACTATAAATCACAATCAATTAAAAACTATTTTCTTCTACCACCTGTCTCAATTTTTACCATTCCACTTTTTTCAATTATATTATCAATTAAGTCAACATAAAACAAAAAAAAAACAAAATTAATCGCATTCAGACTTCTCCATCGATCTCCATATTCACCACTTATTTCTCTTCCATTTATTTTTTAAAATCTAATCATTCATTTTTCTACGAATCCAAATTCCTCTCGCAAACCACAATTCTCTTATTCTCTTCTAATTGCTTCTTGAAATCCACGATATCATCTCCATCATTGCTATCGCTCTTTATTTGTTATGTTCACATGAATAGTCGTCAATCGCCGTTCCCGTTACTCCATTTTTCAGTGAACTTTTTTTTGTTCTTTTTCGATTGGTCATATATCGTAATCGAATCGGTTGATTTTGATTTCTTCTTTCATTTTTGTTTTGCTGGATATATATATTCGTTGGATTTATAATGTGTAGAGTCGAATTTGTAGGGCTTAAGCGTTTTTTGGATATTCGTATATGTGTAATAGCATCAGTATTTCACCTTTTGATTACTGTTTTAAGCTTTTATCTATTGCTCTTTTTTCTGCAGCGAGTTGATTGGTACAAGCGTTTTTCAAATGATTCTGCATTCAGGCCGAACGACTACAAATTTTCTACTAGATATCGAAGAGGTTCTCTTTCTTTAATTTAGTGTGTTAATTTCGTTCTTTCGTGTTAATTTCGTTCTTTCTCCTTCACGTTTTTACTCTGGTGCTGGATTTTCCTATTTGTTATAATTTTGAGATTTATCAAAAAAAATCAAGGTGAAAAGACAAACTTATAAAAATATGTATGCAAGGTGTTTGGGAAAATGCCTAAAAGAGCGTTGTGTCGTCTTGTGAATTTGTTAATACTGATCTAACATCTGAGAAAATTATACGTTTGCATCAAATTTTTGGCTTTTGTTAAACATCTCGACAGTTTTTTGGTTCTGAGACAAGCTTACGGAACTTTGAAAGTTACAAAAGTTTGATGCAATATCTACGAACTCTACCATTTTTTTCTTTCATTTTGTTGTTCAATTTAGCAATTTTGTTTTCTTTCCACAATTTACATAACGGATTTAACAATATTAATACACTCTTATGTGTTGCCTATCATCTGTTAATCTTTTTAAATACTCATTTGCATGTTTTTTTTACTTGAGAAGAATGACATATCTTGATCAAGTAGATAATATGACATTAAACAGCAAACTAAATGAAAGTCAAGACAAGAAGTATTCAACGGATTGAGAAACATAGAATTTAAAGGTAATATATATTTTTAATTTTCTTCCTTCTGTTTCTCAATCTTTGCAAAGTTACTATTTTTTTTAAGAGAGGCAGCTAGACAGCTCTTCGTTAATTTTTTTTTACAAATTCTTCAAATCTACAGCATGTGAAAAAGTCAATGTTGGTGGAGCATGATTTGAAATGATGGAAGTCTAGAACTTGCGGGTCTACTTCAGCAAGTACGTGAACACCAACAAGTCTTTATTCCTTCACAAGTCTCCTGTGTTTTTTGGTATGAATGTTAAGAAGTCTCCTGTGTTTGTTCRCTACAAAYGAATGTTGAGYAAYTACTTCCGAAAAATTCATGTAAAAAAYTAGRGACACTAKAAAAAAAWTCAATGAAATTTGTGTCTTTGAACATCATTTTATTTATATTACTACTATAYKAAATATTTTYCAATTCTCAGAGATTCATARTGTACTATTTTACAAGGTTAGAACGTTTAGAGTTGCAAATCYATCCAAATTCCATATTATTGAGCATGTGTTAGCAATTTTGGTTCAATTTTCTTAATTAATACCAACCTATTAAAATAATTAAAATAAAATATTAAATTCATCCCGTGCGTTCACAGGCCCTTAAACTAGTTTATAAATAAACGCCTAGGCGACGATTTTTATTTGTTTATTTACTTTGTTTTGATTTTTTTTTTGTTCTTTTACTCATTCCATTATTCTTACTTGAATTTCTTTCTGGATTCAGATTAGAGGGTTACCGATTCATTTCTTGAAAAGATAAGCAGTAGATAACTTTAGGAAAAGTAGAAAAGGTTGAGTTGCACGCCAAAAACTCGAGAAATGAGCTACGAATTGTGAATGTTGTGATTACAATAGGAGTATTAATATACAAACAGAGCATTAAATGATAACAAATCAAAACCATAAGTTTTATATCATTTCACCATCATCGGGCTATACGCCGCCTTCTGGCGAAATACTGTTATCCCTCATTAATCAATAGTTATAAAAGCGTCATTGATGTTTAACGGAGTTGTCGTTTACCGTCGCTCAATCTTCGAACTTATACACTTTTGGTCATTTAGAAATTTGTTTCAGGAATATAATTGAGTTAAATGTTTGTTTTTAAAAACGCAAAAGAATATATATTCCTACATGGCTCAAACTTACCAGTGGCTGCTAAGAATCGATGACATGTTA